ACTCACCTACCTGCTGACCGACCTTGGAGAGTCGCCTCGTTCTCCTCCAGTGCTGTACGTAGACAACAAGGCCATGCTGGCCTTGTGTCGTGAGTAGCGCGTGGAGCACAGAACGAAGCACATTGCTCTCCGCTACTTTCTTGCTCGTGAGCTGCAGCAGCGTGGTCAGTTGCGACTTGCGTACGCGGCCTCTGAGGCCAACACTGCTGATGTTTTCACCAAGGCACTTCCGCCTTGTGATCATCAGCGCTTCTGCACTCAGCTGGGACTTGTCCCAGTCTTGCCTCACTTGCTCACCTCTTGACCTTGCTTGTACTCTTGCATATATATATATATATATAATATATATATACCTGCTCTTACTTGTTTAGCCTTATATATATCTGTCTACCCCTGCATGTGAACTGGCCTTGTGGCCTTGACCTTCTGCTCGGACTGTGTGGTGACTTTGTGATCCACCCTGAGCTTGCTTTGCTTTGCTTTGCTTGACTGGTCTTGTGACCCCTTGTTCTCCCCCACTTTGCCTATGGGGGTGTGTCGGAACATATAGCTTTTGCATATTGTGTAGGCTATAGTGGGGTAGCCCACAAGGGGTACAACCCAATTAGGGTTAGTACTTGTACTCAGTTCATTCATAGTTCATTCATTCTCGTTCTCATTTTTTCAATGGACACCGCTCCGAGCATCCCCCTCACAAGCCAATTTGGGACTCCGATATTCGTACCTCTACACCAACCCGATCCTAACGATACAACTCGCTGTGAGAATCCCAACCACTACCATTGGGATAAAAGGGCTTGTTTCAGTAGCGGGTCAGTGCGCCCATAACCCCCCAGGCAAACGCGCCTGTAACCCCTCTAGGATCGATCGGGGATCTCACAGTGTAGCTCTACTGACACTCGCGCGGCTCATGACTACAACAGTGAGGCGCGCCGATCACCTGATGCCGAGTTACCACAACCCAACATGTCGCAAGATACCCTCCGCCTCGGCAACGACAGCGATGACGACGTGGTCGAAGTTACCAGCTTCCACGACTATGACCGACTTCACTATGTAAAGACTGACGAAACCGGTCTCCGCGTTCTCGGCCTCGCCGTCGCTGTTCGCTGCACTTCGCCCAAGGAACCAACCACCGTCCGCCAAGCCCTATCTGGCCCCGACAATGTAAAATGGAAAGTAGCCATGGCCGCCGAAATCGCATCGCTGAAGAATCGTGGCACCTGGAAGTTGGTCCCTCGGTCATCGCCAAAGGGGAGAAAATTCTCAGCGGCAAATGGGTTTTTCGTATCATAAACTATCGCAGATGGCTCGGTCGACAAGTACAAGGCGCGTTGGGTAGTGCGGGGATTTGAGCAAACACACCTGGTGGATTTCACTCTCACCTACGCTCCAGTCAGCCGCCCACACCTCGGTACGCATTCTCATCTGCATCGCCGCCGTCAAATAGCGACCCGCTCCGGGAAATCGACGTCGGCAGCGCCTTCCTCTACGCTCCCGTCGATGCCATCATTTTCGTCGAGCCAGCCGCACGCATTCGAAGAAAATGATGGCGCCGTGTGCCTCCTCCAAAAATCCCTCTACGGAATCAAGCAGGCGCCTCGTTTATTGGCAGCAGTACCTCCATTCCGTCCTCCTTGAGATCGGCTTCACTCAGCTGCAGCACGACCTCGGAATGTACAGGCGGGAATCGCGCAGGAAATTCGTACTCCTCATCGCCTACGTCGACGACCTTCTCTACACCGGCGACGGACACGGAGCTGCTGGACCAGTTTGAGGCTGACATCAAAGAGAAACTGGAGGTGACAATCAACCACAACGTCACCCAGTTTCTCGACCTCAATGTGACTCAGTCCGCCTCTTGAATTCACCTCTCCGCCGCCAAGTACGCCTAAACACTCGCGAAGCGCTTCTCCATCGCACCAATCAACCTCACTACCCCCTATTGCACTCCTCCTCCTAACCACGAGCCAGACACCACACCGCTCTCTCCCGACCAACCATCGTCTCTATCAGCAGCAGCTGGGATGTCTCCTGCTCGCCGCCGTCACGTGCCGGCCCGATCTCTCCTACGTCGCAAGCCAGCTCGCACAGTACCTGAAGCGACCTGAAGGGGAGAATCTACTGGATCTACGCCGAGCACTACAGTACTTCATCTCCACTCCCGACGTCGGTCTCACCTACGAAGCTAATCTCACCGCTACTCTACAGCTCCATGGCTACGTAGATGCCGACCACGCTGGAGATGTTGACAACCGACGCTCCCGTACAGGATTCATTTTTCAACTCCAACCAGCGGGACTCATCTCCTGGAACTCTCAGAAGTAGGAACTTATCGCTCTCATCGTCAGCAGAAGCAGAATTCATCGCAGCTAGCGCAGCTGTTCGCGAAGGACTGTACCTGGTGGAGCTCCTGCAAGAAGCGAAAGTGACGATGAACGGGCACTTCACGTTACTCTGCGATAATCAGAGCGCGATAAAGATCGCGAACAAGCCCGACTTCTTCAACCGCACCAAGCACATCGCCCTTCGCTACTTCTTCGTGAAGGATAAAATCGACAAAGGGAAAGTCAAGCTGATGTACTGCTCGATCGGTGACATGGCAGCTGATTTCTTGACGAAGAAGCTGCCACATCAGGAAGTACCAAACGCTACGCCGACCTCTGCGGGATCACCAAGAAATCCCACGTGGCCCACCTTCAGGAATGAAGGGGAGTGTTGGAATAACCGAAAGGTTACATAAAGCATTCCCAAAGCTGTTCCACTGTACCAGTACCGCAATAGCTCATATAGAGCATGCGGAATGTCGAGGGTCACCCGAAGGTCAACCGTCTGAGGAAATCAACGGTCGTGACCCTTGACAATCCAGTAACCGCGCGACAGTTAATTCACTGCAACATGGTTAACTGTCGAGGATAGCAATAGTCACGGTAACTGTAGCTATGCAATACAGTTAATAAGGGAATGTACCCCTAAGAGTACATGGCTAGCTAGATTTCTATTTTATCCCTTGTACTCCTATCTTTCAATCATCTTGTTCTCTTTCAATCATTATCAACAAGGTCACTACAGAGACTTCATTGTCTCCTCTCAAACTTAACAGATTCTATCCTATCCACTGGATCCTTGGTTATATCAGCAGTTTCGCTGCAGCAGTCAGTCTTGGCCAATCCGAACATGGCCCACCATGTGGTGCTGGAGGGCTGCCAAGCAGGGCTAACTTTAGTAAAATGACCCGTCTGATGTCAAGACCGGGTCCTGGCTCCTTGTCTGATTGTCAGACGAAATCTGTAACCTTGTCTAGCCTTTCAGACGAATCTTAAATACTTGTCTGAGAAGATATAATGCTAGCAAGCAATGTATTTTCAAATATTCATTTTACAGTTAAGTATAGGCAGTGATGTTCTTGTGGCCCAGTAAGTAGAACATGGAGTAGTGAAGATTGAGATTTCCAGTTCGAATCTTGTCATCAGCTTCCTGAGAGTTTTGCCTTCATTCGAAAAAGACTCGATATCTGCAGTCTCAGACGAACTGTATAAGGCTGTCTGAGAAATCAGATGAATAGAAAAAGCTTCTCTAAAAAAATCAGACGAAATTAAACAGCATGTCTACGGCATCAGATGAACCAGTAAAAATGTGTTCAGAATCCAGAAATTCAGACCAGAAATTTCTGATAAAGTAAGCCCTGCTGCCTGGGCCCAAAATTGGTTTAGGCCTACCCTTACGAATCAGGGTAACAGCCTAACCAGACCCCTAGGGTAAAACATTTCATACCCTGTTTTCAGCAGGGTAAATGTACCACTAGTCTGATTTGAGCAGGGTAGTTTTAGGCTAAGCCTGTTTTTTTTTTTTTTTTTTTTTTTTTTTTTTTTTTTTTTTTTTACACTGTCAATCAGAGCTGACACACAGGGGGACCCTGATGGGTTGACGACCCTAAAAGTGAATCTGAGGGCCTGGTTGTTAGCGAATTTTCTGTTGGAGGGTAAAGTCTACGGTTTGAGTCTTGAGGCGTGCACTTTGATCTCAGATATGCCTGAGTGAAATCAGGCATTATTTAGAAGAAACCCTGAAAATTCAGACTTTAATTTTAGGAACACTGATTTCCAGCCTTGTTTAAATAGGGACCCTGATGCATCAACGTCCCTAAAAGTGAATCTGAGGCCCTGTATGAGAGTAACATGACCCCACCGCGTTTGCAAGGTCATTCAACCCGAACAAATAACACCTGTTTCCGTAATCCAATCCATCATACACACATAACCAAAGTTTCCTATCCAAAGGACTACAACCACTCCCAGTTTGGAAGAGCACCCTACCTGCACATGCCCACACACCACACAAATCCATGAATTGACATCCAGTAAGCACATGCTTCGATGGGCTGATCTGAGCAACACATGCTCCGATTCACCTCTAAACTTGGACACCAAACAAGGGGGCAGACCAACCAAACCAACCTCCGATTTTTGAGTAAACTCAAACGTCGTCTCTTTGGAGGCGCCTCAAGAGACGACATTTGAGATGCCTCACAAAGCTCCTAGCCCACTCCTTGCCCTGTCCTCAAAGACCCCCACCCTCATGTCAACCCATTTCCCCCCCTCTCCCCCTCCCCCCGCCCCCCCTCTCCCCCTTCTCACCTGAGCTGGCTTCTGCAGCACAAAAGACCGGTGCATCGAGCAGCACCAGGATTCTGTCTCCATCATCTGCACAGATACATCTGTATCAAAACACTTCTTCCAGGAGCGCATTTTGAGACGTCTCAAAACACTTCTTCATACACGTAGCACCAGGATTCTGTCTCCATCATCTGCACAGATACATTCGGCCCCCTTCTCATCCATTTGAGATGTTCGATGAACTCTGAAGGGCTTCTTCCCCCAGCCAGAGTCATCTTTCGAACCACCGCCACCACTCCTTCCTCTCCCTCTATCCCTTGCACTCTTCCGCTGTTGAGACGTCTATAAAACCACGATGACCTTGGATGCTCCATCCTTGGGTGCTCAACGAACTCCGAAGAGCTCCTTCCCCCAGCCAGAGTCATCTTCCGAACCACCGCCACCACTCCTTCCTCTCCCTCTATCCCTTGCACTCTTCCTCTTTTGAGACTTCTCAAAAACCACGATGACCTTGGATGCTCCATCCTTGGATGTTCGATGAACTCTGAAGGGCTTCTTCCCAAAGCCAGAGTCATCTTCCGAACCACCGCCACCACGCCTTCCTCTCCCTCCATCCCTTGCACTCTTCCTCTTTTGAGACTTCTCAAAAACCACGATGACCTTGGATGCTCCATCCTTGGATGTTCGATGAACTCTGAAGGGCTTCTTCCCAAAGCCAGAGTCATCTTCCGAACCACCGCCACCACGCCTTCCTCTCCCTCCATCCCTTGCACTCTTCCTCTTTTGAGACTTCTCAAAAACCACGATGACCTTGGATGCTCCATCCTTGGATGTTCGATGAACTCTGAAGGGCTTCTTCCCAAAGCCAGAGTCATCTTCCGAACCACCGCCACCACGCCTTCCTCTCCCTCCATCCCTTGCACTCTTCCTCTTTTGAGACTTCTCAAAAACCACGATGACCTTGGATGCTCCATCCTTGGGTGTTCGATGAACTCCGAAGAGCTCCTTCCCCCAGCCAGAGTCATCTTCCGAACCACCGGCACCACGCCTTCCTCTCCCTCCATCCGTATAATCCTCCTCACACCACGACGGCCCTGGTTCTCAATGAACAACGAGGTCTCGATAGACTCTAAAGGGCTTCTTCCCCCAGCCAGATTCATCTTCCAAACCACCGCCACCACGCCTTCCTCTCCCTCGTCTGCTGCAACCTCGCAAGCAAGCGTTGACGTTCCTCCTTTTCTTTGGCAGTTTGAATCTCGTCCTCCCTGGCTGCCCCTTGCTCCCTGCTTCCGCCATTTTCCCTGCTTCCCTCTGTTTCTCTGCTTCCCTCTTCCTCCCTGTACCACTCTCTTGCAAATTTCTCTATGCTCGTCCCCGCCTCTTCAACCACCTCTTCATTCCACTCTTCACTCCCATATTCTCTTCTCCTTTCTCTTCTCTCCTCTCTCCTCTCTTCCTCTCTTCCACGCTCTTCAGTTCTATTTGAATCTTCCTTCACCGCCTCTTCTTTCCTCTCCTCCTCCTTCCTCTCCATCTTCCCATTCCTCTCATCCCTTTTTCTGTCCTCCTCAGCCCCCCATTGCCTGCTTCCTTCTCCTATGCCTTCCCCTTCAATCCTCCTTCCTTTCTCAACGTCTCCCTCTGAACGATGATTACTCGAACCCTCTCTTCTCCCCTCCTCTCTTCTTCCTCCTTCCTCCCTTCCCCCCACTTCTCTCTCCATTCCCTCCTCCTTCCCTCCCGTCTCCTCACTCGTCCCCCCTTCCCTCCCCCCAACTTCTCTCCCCCCCTCCTCCTCTCCTCGCCCTTCATCCCTCCCAGCCTCCACCCACCCCTCTTCTCGTCTAACCGGCTTCTCCAGCAGGCAGTTCAGGTACACATGAGGCCCTTTGCGTTCCCCCGGGTCTGGTTTGGGCAGCACACGCCAGTGCAGGCGGTTGTAGCTGAGGAGGTTGAGGATGGCGACATAGACCGGAAACTCGTCCAGAGGGGCGTAAAACATCTCCAGCCAGATCACACCACCTGAAGGTGGGGGAGGGCAGGGGAGGGAAGGGGAGGGCAGCACACGCCAGTGCAGGTGGTTATAGCCGAGGAGATTGAGGATAGCCACATAGACCGGAAACTCGTCCAGAGGGGCGTAAAACATCTCCAGCCAGATCACACCACCTGAAGGTGGGGGAGGGCAGGGGAGGGAAGGGGAGGGCAGCACGCGCCAGTGCAGGCGATTGTAGCCGAGGAGATGGAGGATTGCGACATACACTGGGAACTCGTCAAGGGGAACATAGAACATCTCCAGCCAGATGACGCCAGACATGAGCACAAGGGCGAACACCTGTTTCGAGGCGAACCGAACAGGTTTGTTTTTTTTGCTTAAATTGTTCGCTGAACAGTGTTCGATGTTCGCCCGAACACGTTCGTGTTCGGGCCGCTGCTGCAATTTGCCCCGCGACGAACACGAACGTGTTCGAGGTTCGCCCGAACACGCCTTCACAGGCGAACGGCGAACACGAGTTTTTGCTTAAAGTGTTCGCCGAACCGAACAGTGTTCGGTTCGGCAAACGGATGTGTTCGTCTAGGGGCGAACACGAACATGTTCGTGTTCGCCACTTGCTCATCCCTAGATGACACCACCTGGGAGCGACAGGGGGGAAGGGGGTAAACAGGGGAAGGGGGATAAACATGAGGCCCTTTTGAATCCCTCAGGTCTTTTGGCTTTGGCAGCATACGCCGCCAATTCAGGTACACATGAGGCCCCTTGCGTTCTGCTGGGTCTGGAGGAGCCAAACGACACTACCTGGGAGCGAGAGAGGGGGAAGGAGGAGAGCGCACGCAAGGCCCCTTATGCCCCTCTACACGCCAGTGCAGTCGGTTATAGCTGAGGAGATTGAAAATGGCGACAGGGTGCTTTTGAGACTTCTCAAAAACACTCTTTTGAGAATTCTCAAAAACACCCTGGAGCAGTCGGTCATAGCTGAGGAGATTGAGAATGGGGACATACACTGGGGACTCGTCCAGAGGCGCAACCTAATCCCATCCTCCATCTAGTCGCACCACCCCATTCAAGTCTGAATGGTTACTAGCATAAGGAGGTTTCTAAAAAGGCTCACTGACTCTGAGCACGCGGTTCCACTCAAAGAGCAGCTCTTCAAAATCGAGCATGGGCAGGTACTTGACGCTGTTGACGCTGTGAAGGGAATGGTTGTAACACGGTTACCACTTGGTTACCAATGTAAGGACTCACGGACTCTTAGCACGCGGTCCCACACGAAGAGAAGCTCTTCAAACTCCAGCATGGGCAGGTACTTGACGCTGTTGACACTACCAAGTGCATACCACACGTACAGTTACCATATGGCAAGGTACTGTGAAGAATTTACCAACTCTGAGCACACAGTCCCTCCCACTCGAAGAGCATCCCTTCAATGTTCGAGCATGGCCATCAGTGTAACCATGGGTACTTGACACTGATCACACTGTTCTGTTAAGGGAATGATACCCATGGTTACCACTTGGTTACCACTTGGTTAACACATGGTTACCGATGTAAAGACTCACCAACTCGTAACACACGGTCCCACTCGAAGAGCATCTCTTCAAACTCCACCACGGGCAGGTACTTGACGCTGTTGATGCTGCGGAGTGCATGGGATGACACGGTTACCACATGGTTACCAGCAAAAGGACTTACCAACTCTGAGCACGCGGTCCCACTCAAAGAGCATCTCTTCAAACTCCAGCATGGGCAGGTACTTGACACTGTTGACGCTGTGAATGATGTCCAATGCGCCGTCAAAGAAGGGCAGGCGGGCCTGATGAGGGGGAACGAGCGAGAGAGGGAATGGTAGGAGGGGGGATGGATCATGGAGAGAGGGAGATGGTACTTGACGCTGTTGACGCTGTGAATGATGTCCAACTCGCCGTTGAAGAAGGGTAGACGAGCCTGATAAGAGACACAGAGAGCAGGGAGGAAGGAGGAAGGAAAGAGGGCCACTTGACGCTGTTGACGCTGTGAATGATGCCTGATGAGCCGTCAAAGAAGGGTAGGCGGGCCTGATGGGAGGACAGGGAGAGAGGGCTTTTGAGTCGAAAGGGAAGACAAAAGCTGATGGGAGGACAGGGAGAGAGGGGAAATGAGGAGAGGAGAGAGGGAAGGAGACAACAGCACATCTGCTTTTGAGTCGACTCAAAAGCTGATGGGAGGACAGGGAGAGAGGGGAAATGAGGAGAGGAGAGAGGGAAGGAGACAACAGCACATCTGCTTTTGAGTCGACTCAAAAGCTGATGGGAGGACAGGGAGAGAGGGGAAATGAGGAGAGGAGAGGGAAGGAGACAACAGCACATCTACCTTGTGTAGCAAATGGAGATCGATGAGCCCTCTCAAGGCAATCGCCTCCATGCATGGCAGCCCATGCTTGCGCCCCACCACAGTCTCCACGTTCATGGCCGTGGGGAGGATGGTCATGAGGATGGGCAGTGATGACGCTGTAGAAGGCCATGTTTGTAGGGTACAGAGGGCAGCGCATGCCACACAGCACACAGCAACCCACTCACCTTGTGTGGCAATAAATGCAGGGGAATCAGTCCTCTCAAGGCAATTGGCTCCATGTATGGAAGCCCCTGCTTGCGCCCCACCACTGTCTCCACGTTCATGGCCGTGGGGAGGATGGTCACAAGGCTTATAGCACACAGCCGAGAGATCAATCATCACAGCCCACAGCGCATAGCCCAGAGCCACGCTCACCTTGTGTGGAAGGTGCAGGGGGATCAACCCTCTTAAAGCTATCGCCTCGATCACCATGTATGGCAGGCCACCCCTGCTTGCGCCCCACCACTGTCTCCACGTTCATCGCCGTGGTGAGGATGGTCGCAAGGCTCTTCACAAACAGCACACAGCCTACAGCCCAAAGCCCATAGCCCACTCACTTTGTGTGGTAAATGGAGACGAATGAGCCCTCCTAGAGCAATGACCTCCATGTAAGGCAACCCCTGCTTGCGCCCCACCACTGTCTCCACGTTCATCGCCGTCGTGAGGATGCTGCCAAGGTTTACAGCCCACACCACACAGCCCACAGCCCACAACCCACCCACCCACCTTGTGTGGCAGGTGCAGGGGAATGAGTCCCCTTAAAGCTATGGCCTCCATGTATGGAAGCCCCTGCTTGCGCCCCACCACGGTCTCCACGTTCATGGCCGTGGTGAGGATGGTCACATTGTAGAGGGCCATGTGCGCCGCAAAGCTTCCTGTGCCACCTCCAATGTCCAAACCGAGCCTACAGAATGGATGGAGGTGGGGTGAAGAGTGCAAGGAAGGGGAGGCACGTGGTGAGGATGGTCACATTGTAGAGGGCCATGTGCGCCGCAAAGCTTCCTGTGCCACCTCCAATGTCCAAACCGAGCCTACAGAATGGATGGAGGTGGGGTGAAGAGTGCAAGGAAGGGGAGGCACGTGGTGAGGATGGTCACATTGTAGAGGGCCATGTGCGCCGCAAAGCTTCCTGTGCCACCTCCAATGTCCAAACCGAGCCTACAGAATGGATGGAGGTGGGGTGAAGAGTGCAAGGAAGGGGCGGCACGTGGTGAGGATGGTCACATTGTAGAGGCCCATGTGCGCCGCAAAGCTTCCTGTGCCACCTCCAATGTCCAAACCGAGCCTGCAACCACGGGGTAAGGGAAAATGGGACAGGAGGAGGGGGAGGGGAGGCATGTGGTCAGAATGGTCGCAATGTAGAGAGTGCCATGTGCACTGCAAACTGCCTGTGCCTCCTCCGATGTCCAGGCCAAGACTAGAGAGAATGTAATGTTTGTGGTCTGTATTTACATCCCACCCACCTGATGCTTCCCTGCTTCATTTTAAGCACATCCTCTATAGTCAACGATCCCCGGTATCGCACGCGCCAGCGATTCCTCTCGAGAGTGAGGTTGAAGCAGAGGCGGCAGTCCCCGACCACACGGGCGTTGAGGCAGGCGAAGGAGGAGCAGGCGTGGTGGTCCCACACCAGGGCTGTGTCTATTAGGGCGCTCAGATTGAATAGCGCCTGGGGGAAGGGCAGTGGCTGGGGTAGTGGGAAGAAGAGAAGACAAATGGAGGAAGGCAGAGAAGGGAGAAAGGTCGGGTTGGGTTCAAACAGATTTGGCAGTCCCCAGGAAAGGAGAGCAGGCGTGGTGGCCCCACACTAGAGCCGTGTCTATGAGTTGACTTTTGAGTCGACTCAAAAGTCAACTCCCCACACTAGAGCCGTGTCTATGAGTGCACTCTGATTGAAGAGTGCCCGGGAAAGGGTAGAGACTGGGGGAGGGGGACCAAGTGAGCAGACATGGTGGTCCCACTGGGGTAGACAATGAGCGTTGGCTGCATGGCTGGTGTGCCTTAGTGGAAGTAAGTGTGCGTGCGTATCCATGCCTTGAGAGTTGACAAGATGGCTCACAGGCTAATGCGTGGCTCACAGGCTAATGCATGGCTCACAGGCTAATGCGTGGCTCACAGGCTAATGCATGGCTCACAGGCTAATGCGTGGCTCACAGGCTAATGCGTGGCTCACAGGCTAATGCATGGCTCACAGGCTAATGCGTGGCTCACAGGCTAATGCGTGGCTCACATTGATGGTTTGGTTGGTGGTGCGGGCGCGGCAGCGGGTTGCGGCAGGGAGAAGCAGCGATGGTGGAAGATGAGGGACTGGTGGCAAACCAGTCGTCAGGGCACGCCCCACTGGCATCGTATGTCGTGTATTGCGTGAGAGCCTCGTCTGCTGCATCACACGTGTAGCCCTGGGGAGGAGGGGAGCAGAAGAGGGGAAGGGGTGGTGGAATCAGCTGGCAGTGGTGGTGGAAGATGAGGGCCTGGGTGGGGAACCAGTCATCAGGACACGCCCCACTGGCGTCGTATGTTGTGTATTGCCTGAGAGCCTCGTCTGATGCATCACACGTGTAGCCCTGGGGAGGAGGGGAGCAGAAGAGGGGAAGGGGTGGTGGAATCAGCTGGCAGTGGTGGTGGAAGATGAGGGCCTGGGTGGGGAACCAGTCATCAGGACACGCCCCACTGGCGTCGTATGTCGTGTATTGCGTGAGAGCCTCGTCTGCTGCATCACACGTGTAGCCCTGGGGTTTTAACAAAAAGGAAAAAAACAGGGAAGGGAAGGGGTAACGGGGGAGATGGGGAAGGAATGGTGGAACCTGGAAGCAGCGGTGGTGGAAGATGAGCGACTGGGTGGGGAACCAGTCGTCAGGACACGCCCCACTGGCATCGTATGTCGTGTATTGCGTGAGAGCCTCGTCTGATGCATCACACGTGTAGCCCTGGGGTTTTAACAAAAAGGAAAAACAGGGAAGGGAAGGGGTAACGGGGGAGATGGGAAGGAATGGTGGAACCTGGAAGCAGCGGTGGTGGAAGATGAGCGACTGGGTGGGGAACCAGTCGTCAGGCCACGCCCCACTGGCATCATACGATGTGTATTGCGTTAGAGCCTCGTCTGATGCATCACACGTGTAGCCCTAAGAGAGAGATGAGAGTGAGGGGGGAGAAGGAGACTGAGGGACTGGGTGGGGAACCAGCCGTCAGGGCATGGCCACTGGCGTCATATGATGTGATTGCCTGAGAGCCTCGTACGACACATCACATGTGTAGCCCTGGGGGGTGGAAGAGGGGGGAGAACAAGGGATTGGGAAGCAGGAAAGATGAGAAGGGGTGGCGGAATCAGGAAGCAGTGGTGGTGGAAGGTGAGCGCTGGGTGGGGGAACCAGTCGTCAGGGCACGCCCCACTGGCATCGTATGTCGTGTATTGCGTGAGAGCCTCGTCCGGTGCATCACACGTGTAGCCCTGGGGTTGGGAGAGAGAACTTGCGGAGGGAGGGAGTGGGTGGCGTAGGAGGGGGCATAGGCACAGGGAGAGGTTGATGAATCAGTTGCTCAATGCAGACAGTGAGACATGGTCCACTGAGGGCCGCTGTGGGCCCTCAGTGAGACTTGTCATATGTCATGTATTACCCCAGAGCCCCAAACCCTTGATGAGTGCTCTGGAGCCATGCCACCCACAGTGCCTTGCCCATTGACCCGCCATCCCATGCACAAAAGGACACCAACCCCACAACCCCCTCCCCTCCCCTCCACTCACCTTCCACACCAGTGTCCCCTGCTGTGCCACAATGCCATGCCCGTTGCACCACCACCCATGCACGATGGAACAACCACAGCCACCTCCAGACCCACTTTACCTCCACCCTGACCCCCACACCCTCATCCCCTCCACTCACCTTCCACACAGTGTCCCCTGCTGAGCCACAATGCCATGCCCGTTGCACCACCCACCCATGCACGATGGAACAACCACAGCCACCTCCAGACCCACTTTTACCTCCACCCTGACCCCCACACCCTCATCCCCCCACTCACCTTCCACACCAGTGTCCCCTGCTGTGCCACAATGCCATGCCCGTTGCACCGCTGCACTGTCATCTGTGCCTCGTGCATCGACTGTGGTGGGGCGAACGGGGGAATGAGAAGCAGAGAAGGAAAGGGGCAACACATTGCTGTCCGTTGCACCGCTGCACTGCTGCACCATCATTTGCGCCTGCATTGGCCTCGACTTGTGCATATACTGGCAATGCAGCGTCACATCACTGGGCAATGCAGCGTCACATCACTGGCAATGCAGCGTCACATCACTGGGCAATGCAGCGTCACATCACTGGGCAATGCAGCGTCACATCACTGGGCAATGCAGCGTCACATCACTGGGTTTTGACTACTTTTTATCCACCGCAACAATCGTCTCAGAAACCTTGCCTTGCGCACTGGGGGCGTGAAGCCTCACCTGGTTTTCACAGGAATGCTTTCTTTTGAATCAATGGCTGCTCCGCTCAGTTTTTTGAGAATTCTAAAAAACACGCCTTGCGCACTGGGGGCGTGAAGCCTCACCTGGTTTTGGCAGGAGTGCTTTCTTTTGAATCAATGGCTGCTCTGCTCAGTTTTCCAAGGCACCTCGCTTCATATTGAAAACAGGCGCCGTGTGCAACTGCCAACTGGGGAAGAAGGCCTCACCTGGTTCGATAGAAACAATGCTTCCCAATTGGCATCAGCTCTGCTCAGCTTCTTGTTCAGCACGTACTTCTCTCGGCTCACCCTCTTGCTCTCCGCCTGCCATAATGCATCACGCAATAAGGGGTACACCAGAATAACAATCAGATCTTGAAATATTGAGACTTGAGAAGCACAGTGAGGGTTTCGGGTTTAAAGCAACAACAATCAAAGTGGGCCCTTGCAGTCTCTGAAATAGAAAGAACTGACTGGTTCCAGGGTTCAGGGTTTGAGTTTCTGTCAAAGAGCTCACCTGCTCATCCACTGAGGCGTGACTCACTGTTCATCCCCTCTACTACATGACTCACCTATTTCTCTGCAATCTGCCCCATAAGCCTCTCCAATTCCACTATCAGCTCCCGTAGCCTCACAACTAGCGGGTCACAGCACGTGTCCCCCTTGTGCTTGCCTCACGTGGTCTTCAACTCTAGCTCACCTGTTCATCAAACCTCACCTGTTCATCAAAACTCACCTGTTTCTCTGCAATCTGCCCCATACGCCTCTCCAGATCCGCTGTCTGCACCCTAAGCTTCAGCACCAGCGGGTCACAGCATGGCGCAGATTCCTGCAGAAGCTTCCTCGACCCCTCCAACTCACTCCCAGAATCTCCTCCTCCTGCATTCTCGTCCCTCTCACCGCCCTGTCCTGACTGAAATCCCTGGAGCTTCGAGTCTTCTCCATCGTTATCACTCGTGCACGGCACGCAGTCTGCAAGCCTGGCGCGGGTCTGGCGTCGTTCTGCTAATCTCCTTCTCACCCGGGCTTGCCCGTGGCTCAGAACGAGCTCTAAGTCATCAGAGACGTGGAACTGTTTGCTCTCCCATTCGTCTCCTCTTCACCCTCATGTAAACTCCTGCTTTCCTCCTTCTCATCCCCCTCCTCTTTGTCCCACTCGTCGTCACCTTCCTTGTCCTCCTGCACATTCCTATCCCCTTTAAAGCCCATGCTCTTTACCCTCCCTTTCTCACCCTTCTTCTCCACCTGTTTTTCACGCCCTCCGTCATTCTCCTTGCCCAATTCACCATTCCCATCCCGACTGAACCCCCCTTCCAGGCCCCGCAGGGACCAGGAGTCACCCAGCCTGAAGGACCTTTCGGAAGCAGCACGCTTGGTTTGGTGCGGATCCGAAGCAGCAGGTGTGCTTCGGTGGGACTCCAAGCCAGCAGGATCGGCTTGACGACCTGGCGAGAGGGATAGATCCGGAAATTGGGAAGGATGGCAAAAGGGGAATGTAAAATGGCAAGAGAGTGAGGAATCCTTACTTCCTTTGAAGGCTCCTGGGGACTCCAAAACCCGAACCCCCTAACGAAGTTGAAACTAAAACGAGGAGTGAGAGGGTGGATCAGTGGAGAAAGTGGTTTCTCTGCCAAAGGCCGTCATGCAAAGCTGTTATTTCTGACCTTGTCCCACTCAAAGCTCCTGACGCTTACCTGTAACCATCGCTTCAAAGTGAAGTGGTTTTTGAGTCGATTCAAACCTTACCTGGTCCAATTCGAAGCTCCTGATGCGTTTTCTGGAACCATCGCCTGAGATTCTCCAGCTCCTTCTGGCATTGCATCTCCCGGCGATTCGATTGGCTGGTGAACACCCTGAACGAGCGCGAAAACAGTGACAGTGAGCATCAGGCAAGGATAGGCGGAGAGCCGCCGGGGACGGAGGAACCGGGAAGGTGGGAGATGTCGTAACACATCCTTGAAAAGTTTCCAGGCAATAAAGTAGGCTTACCTCCGTGGCATCCAGGAACGGAAAACCCTTAGCCATGGTGTCGCCTCGGTGGATCGAAGAGCACTGGCAGAGGAGGAATCGGCTGAGGACGGACCAGCCATGACTTTCCGGTTACGCAGGGTTCAATTAGCACCATGTGTGCTGCAAAACACGACGACTAGCACCAGGAATCTAAAGTTCGCCATTCTTCTAAGCCTGAATCTTGGTTGATGGAAAACCATTCTCTTGCTGGCCAGAAGCTAAAAGGCCGGAAATATCGCCAGCGGACAGAGTCTTGAACCACGAAATCCGACGATAGGTTTTGAATCTGAGAATGAACTCGCAACTCTGAAGGATAACTATCGCCTCGGTAGTATGCGAGGATTTCTATCGTCAAAACGTCTGCGACGTCAAATCGCGGACAGAAAATTCAGGTCAGCTCCGTTCTTCAGACCAGCGAAACAAGCCGTAAATCTTGCAGCTAGCGCGATCA